TTGATATGGGGAGGCGAGGCGGCCGGGCTCCGCGCAGCGGCCCGCGGGTTGCGGTGGGGGGCGAGCTGGCAGGAGGGGGAGCGTGGCTCTGGGCGACGGGAGGCCTCCGCGGTTCTGTCACGCGGGGTGTTTAGAGCCGCTGTCTTTGGATGTGGCAAATGGGGCTTAGTTGCTGTTGCACCCTTCCCCGGCTGGTAGACACTGCCCTTCCCTTTCCTGCCTGTTAGGCGTGAGGCAATAGGAGTGCTGTCAGGGACCAGGCGCTTGCAAAACTGTTGGAGTTGTTAGTCAGTTTAAGTAGTTTTTAACTTGAACAATTATCTAACGCTTTAGGATGCTTTTCTTAAGTTTAACTATGTCACGTAAAAATACGAGTGCATGTTTTCTGTGAAGCTATCACAAATCGTAATGTCATGTTGTGATCATTTTATTTCCTGTAAAGTAAGTGCATTCCTTTCCTCTCTCCCCCACCCGCGTGTGGTTCTCATAATCTTTTTTTTTTCAGTATTATGCACCATGGCTGAGCCTATATCCGAATCTGAATCTGCGGCCATGGCTTTTTATGCTGGTGATAAATCTTGCTGTGAACTGGTAAGTAGGTTTGGAACTAGATGAAAGGCTTGCAAGATGATCCAATGGGTTTTATACCTAGGTATCATCTATAGACTGATTATTGATCTGGATGAACTTTAACTAATGCAAAGATATGCTATACCACTGTAAATTATTCTCTTGCAAAATGCTACATCTGGGTAGAGCACAGAGACTGCATATCCTCTATCACACAAGTTTTACTGAAAAGGTATACAATAAATAAGTAAAACTAGACAGGAATAGATAGATCTTGTTAACACAGTTTTACTAATCTGCTGGCCATGCGTCCAGGCTATGTCAGATGGTATACCTCACAGTAGTGAAATCCATGCTGTGGAGTGAATGAGACGTTCGCAGTGATCCTTCAAGCTGAACCGATTTTGAAATAATTTTTTCCTTCTTTGTTAGTGAGTGGCCAGTTTTGTTAAATATGTTGATAATTTATTTTTGAGAACAAGCCTCAGTTTGCATGTAAAGTTGCAGCAGTTTAGAAATACTACTTTTGATGAGGTCACATGATTGCTTATCACCACTTCAGGTCAAGTTGTCATTGCACAGTATATCGGTATTTCCCTGAGGTCTGCCACTGCAAGAATGAAAGTCTTTAAAGGAAACACTTTCTTGCAGACGTTTGTTTTCATACTTCTTTTTCTAGTCGTATCCAGAAATAACTTTTAGTTTCTTTGAAATTATAATACAGCTGTACATACAGACAAAATACTTACTATTTATTAACAGACATGTACATTATTTTTATTAAAACAGTAGACTTTGTAGGGCTCTGTAAAATGGAACAAAGCCGTGTAATTACTCTTCAGCTCTAGCGGCTGGCATGGAGCACTTCTTTTAAAACTCATTAAAGTTCCATTGGTACAGTGTACTGCTGTGAAATAAATAAGTGAATCAACCTGTGAAGTAAATAAATGAATCAACCACTTTTATTTACTCTACGTACTTTGATATATGTTTATTCACATATATATGCACATACTATTAAAAAATTAATTAATATTTTGAAAACCTGTTATCTTAAAAATGTCTTCTGTAGGTATTCTTGGATATTATGTCACTGTCCATTAGCCAGGTTTGAGTGATCTATTTTTTACAAGAATGCTATGGTAGTATAATTTAATATATTGTTTAAGCTATTAATAATTGTGAGTGGCTGTGAACATTTTTAATTTATGGGTATCTTTTTCAGTTAATGGGCATATAGGTAAACATTTTTCTCATATGAGTGCAAATAAACCATTATGCTACTTAGAAACAGTTAAGTAGTTGCTACTTGCAGTTGATGTAATGCATTTGTGGGATATGTAATGTTAATAATTAATATGCTTATCATTAGGGTCATGGAGTATTTGTACAGCGTTCTTCACGTAAACTTAGAACAGGTATGTAAATTAAACTAATCTTGCATAACTTTCTCCTATGTACTTCCTGTGCTGTATCTTTGGATTGCTATTTCACTTTTTTCCTTATTTTGTCTCCATATATGTATAAAATTATTTGGTCTCTTCTGAGTGGAAGTATTGCTAAATTTTGAGTTGGAGTAATTCTCATCTTTTTATTGTAATGTAATATGCAGGAGAATACCATAGGTTTGTGAGAACAGTGTGAATACTTGGTTACACTTCCATACACGGTGTCAGTTAATGTTAAGAGAACAGAGATTTTAAACTTTGTTGATTACCTGTGCTCTAATCATAGCTATGTTTTAGCTATGTAGGTCTGAGTACATGCTCAAGATGATCTTTGTAGGTAGAGTGTTGTAATTATAGATAATCTCCTTTCTCCCCCTCTCCCCCCCCTCTCTCTCTGTTTTGTTTTTTGGGCTTTTTTGGATAGTTGCAGAAAAGTAGATAGCTACACAATACGCCAAGTTATTCAAAATTATTCCATATACAAAATGAAAACCTACAATACCTAGTCTGTAGGAAACTCAGGTGAATGCAGCTGCCTATGTAAAAGCAGGTTTCGTATATACACAAAACTCTCAGATGCTACTGCTTCTCTTCTGTGGCTACTTGATACCATCTCAATAGTCAAATGAGGATTTTTGCCCGTAAAATACAGTCTCCAAGGGAAATGGGTCATATTTTTGAAAGAGCCACATATCATAAAGAACGGACTCGGGAGGAAAAATAAAAATCACTGCTGAGTTTATGTACCTTGTTGCTACATGCCATGCTACTGTGAAATTATGACAGAAAATAATTAAACAGGTGCAGCTAGAAGCAGCCTATGTTTTGTCTTGAAAGTAGCACCCTTAATAGCCTTTAAACAGCTCACAGCCTTTGTTAGGCTCCTCATTAGAAGCAAGCAGCGTTTATTCAGAGTAATGCAGAACACAGACCACTCGCTCATTGACGAAGGAATGCAAAACTTGCCAGCAGTTCTTTTGTCTCTCCTCAGTGTAAATTTCCTCTCCTCCTTGGATTGAAAAAAAAAAAACCCACAAGTCATCATTTATATTTAGAGTTTTCAAGTCACCTCGTTCTAGTTAGATAATACACAAGAATACACTATGGAAGGAACTGATGTTTTTGAATGTTTAATTGGACTTTGATTATTTGTAATGCCGGAATTGGATAGTTTAGTTCCTAACTATTTTTTTAATTAAAGATGTTGATCCCTGTGAAGCGTGGTGCAGTCAGCCAGTTGACATATTAAGAGAATATTGCAACATTATTAAAATACGCATCTTTTGGCCACTTCTCTTCAAAAGCGAGAGCAATTCTTTGGTAGCCGATTGGAGGTAAGCAATTGTGTTCTTGAAGTGGTTTGTTTGTGTTTTTTTTGTTACCTGTGAAGGGTTGATGTGCACTTTCAATAACAGATAAACTGTGGAAACGCTAAACTATCTTAGCTTATTTAGCTCACTGATGAAAACATTAAGGTCAGAAAACACAGTCCCTGAAAATAGGGATGAAAATATTAAGAATAGGTTTCTGAAGCTTGGAATGTAAGCATGTATTTAAGGACTTAAGTGGATGCCCTGTATTTTAAAAGTACCACACGCTCCTCAGCTATTCTTGATTTTCTTTCTATCGAGAGCTCGGTTTGAGTTTGTAACCGTTGTCTTGCTTAGATCTTAGAAGCATAAATATTAGTAGTTAAAACCATGTAACATAGTGTTATTTTTCTAAATAATAACTTGTTTTGTTTTTAAGCAGTTCACAGATTTTAGACCAGAATTGGAAGAGGCTCTATGATTTAGAGTTTTTGGAAGACCTTGTTGATTTGATTAAAAAAGTTGCTGTAAGTATCATCTTTTAACTTTGTATATGTTTTCAAGTGTAATAAGCTATTTAATTCTTTACTTTATGCAGTTTGCGATTATATCTTAAATTGGACATTTCCTTTTATTGGAGGGAATAGACTACCTGACAGCCGGCTGAGTTCCACTTTTGTAGAAAGGAAGTGTGGTATCGTGGCCTTTATTATAGAGTTGGGATAACTTTTGTATAGTGCATAATGCATTTCACCAGGACCTTTTTAGATTGCTGTATAAGAAACTGTCATGAGACTTGTATCAGTGAGGCAAATGATAC